TACATGGGTTTGCAGAATGGGAAATAAAAAGATACTGAAAATCCTGTGGGGGTTATGAAGTTGTACCCAACCTTGAGGGGGCACTATTATATTATTTTGTAAATGTGTCCTGGAAGTTAATAAAATTAAACTTGGATATTTTGAGATTTTTTTTTTTTGAGATTTTGTTATTTATTTTTGAGTATTTAATTATTTTTCAAGAAATTATTTTGGAAATTTGGGAATTTAAATTAAATATGAGGCTGTGGCAAAGTTTTATGTCCACTTTTAAAAATTAGTGCCTAAATTGGTTCTAATTTCGATTTGCCTAACAATTAGTGAGCCTAATTTGTTCTAGGTTCAATTAGGTTAATAGTTAGTTTAAATTTTGTACAAGATTTTTTTTTTTAATTAAAAAAATCAATAAATTTAAGTCCTCTTTGTCATATATGGTAATGTAGGCAAAATTGCATTTTGTGGTTTAACATAGCATTTTTAGTCTCAAAATTTTAACTTTTTGTTTTTTATCCTTTAATTTAGTATTTTGCTGCAATTTCATTTTCATGGGACTGAAATTGCAACATAATTTAAAATTATAATTTTAAATTTAAAATTATATTTACAGTCCAAAAAACTAAAATTGCGTTGAATTTTATTATCATATGACCAAATAGAAAAAAATGTTCAATTCTTTGGACTAAAAGATCATTGTCAAATCAGCGTGACTAAAATTGTAATTTTGCATATAAACAAATGCATTACTCATTTTATTTTATTTTGGTTCGATTCGGTTCGTGACATAATTTTGTGCAAACACCGAATTTTTCGGTTCTTTTGGTTCGGTTTTTACCAATAGACACATAACTCGCCTGCTGTGAGTTTAGACTCCGGCGTTGTTCGGAGATTGCGAGGACTGAAAATAAATTAACAAAGCATATGCTTCATATGTGCGCTTAACACCTCATTCACCGATCGATGTTGAATGCGTTCAAGTTGCAGGTTTCGAAACCTGCTCGGATCCGCCTAAGCTGGGGACCGGACGCCGCCGCAGTCTCCTCTCGCGTCCGCCGGCAGTCTCCCCGGCTGCCCATCCGCCGCCATTTCGCTTCCATCACTGTTCAATCGGCTGAGGATGTGCCAGCGGTTTCATCCCAGTTCGCATCCACCATTGCACCTTCCTCGCTTCGCCTCTCTCACCGGACGATAACTCGCCGCCACATTCAAGTCCTCAGTTTTTTCGCCTGCGCCGTACGCTCTCTCTCTCTCTCTCTCTCTCTGTGTGTGTGTGTGTGTGTGTGTGTGTGAGCTAGCTGAACCTGGATTTTTCATAGTCTTTACAGAAGACTTCTCGAATTTATTCAAATTAACTGTGAGATATTTATTTTGATTTCAAAATTAGATGTTTGATTTTTTATGAGTCGGTTGAGTGACTGTGTATTTGTGCTTCATTACCATTGAGTTGCTTGCTGCATTGTTCAGGTCTAAAACCAGAAATAGTGTGCTTGAGCAGGTAACTGACTGTCTAAACATGATAATAGAACTAGCTTAGATTCAGTTCGCGCATTTTATTTCCAAAAATAGAGGTTTGTATTCTTGCTTTGCGAAGAGAACCATAGGTTCTTGTGTTCTGAGTAAAGGAGAAAGATATGTACCAGAATGATTATTATCCAGCTGAAAGCAATAAGCAATTTCGGTTCTAGTCATTCTAAACATAAATAAAAGCGAAACCATGTGGATGAGAAAATAGTTCGTATGATTTTGTAGCTTAAGCATTCTGGAGAAATATGGGAACTAATGAAAAAGCCTGATCAAAATAGCTTATAGGCTATGAGCCAAATCGATAAAGTTACATATGAACATTTAAATAGAAACCACGTGTTGTTGAATCTTGAATTTTGTTAAAAGCTACACCGAAAAGGAAAACTATTACTTTTAATTCCATGCATGTTCTATTACGCTTGATATTTCTACGAGAGACTAAAACCGCGTGACAATAATATCTTGGATTCAGGTTGGGAATGAGAAACATGGCACCAGTCTGAAATGAACTGAAACTTCACCCTTTTCAAACATGTTGAACATCACCAGCGGGAAATGGAGATCGACTTAAATAAAATTTCCTATGTTTCCTTCAAAGACATTTTCCCGCTACTTAGTTCTATGTGACTTTACTGAATCCTGAACCGTTATTTAGTCTTTATGTGACGATTTACTCTGGTTAGCAAGCTTTACTGTACAGCACTCAGTTATGTTAATTTCCATGAAAATTGTTGGGTGTTGAAAATTTCAGCAGTTTGTCTGGTGTTCTACTATTGGAGGTTGTAAATCGCTTGAGTGTCTAAGCATCAAGAAATATCTATTTACCTAATCTGGCATTGTAGGAAAACAATGGTACAAGTACAATTTCTCCTGTAAATTTTGATTATCTTCCTCTGGGTTTAACCGTCTAAGGTTAAAAACCGGAGTTATTAAATTTTCAGTTATGAATGGTTAAAGATCAAATGATGGGTAGAAATGTGTTTATGTGTGTGAATGATTTAGTAGTCTGTTCACGTGCACTAGACTTACAAACAGGTGTTGCTTGGTAAAGTCGGGCGATTTCTGTGACTTGCTTATTCTGTACACAAGGAGGACAATTTTGCATTTACTTAAGTTTGTCATGCCATGTTGAAGGTTTCAGCCATTGGTGTTATTGTCTATGTTGTATTTTTGTTTGTTTGAGGTGCATCAGTTTATAATGTAACACTAATGATTTAAATTTGATGTCGATTTTCAGGTAGCAATTTCTGCAACATGGCTCTTCTGCTCAGCAATTCCAACTCTACTGGTTCGTATTCTGTAGAATTTGAACATTAGAATTACATGTTCAAGGCATTATTATAAATGTAACTGAGTTCCTCTAAGTTTGTGTATACTAAGAGAATTCCACTCATTTATACTTCATTGAAGTTTTGTGTTAATGTATAACCGATTGTGGAAGAGCTACTAGGAGCTCCCAGATAAAAGATTCATGCAGTGATTGAAAAATACAATTATAATGTCTGATACTAAAACGCCATAATGAGACGCTATATAAGACCACATGGTATGTTCCTTTTCATTTCATGGTGATAACAGTTATAATATCATTCAATGAAGGCTTTCAAGAGAGCTGCAGAGTCACTGGAGAAGCTAATGGACACTACAAGGGAGGAATTACCCGACACAATGGCTGCTGTCCGGTTATCAGGAATGGAGATCAGTGACTTAACCATGGAGCTAAGTGACCTCGGGTTAGTATTAAAAGGTATCTCGCTTCTCCAGCTATCAAATCCATTTACGTTAAAACATATTCTTTTTATTTCATTTACAGCCAAGAAATAACACAAGGAGTTAGGAGTTCAACTCGAGCTGTTCGTTTGGCGGAAGAAAGATTGAGACGGTTGACAAACACAAACCCCATAGGTTATTACCATGATTTAGCTTACTTTATTAATGGCAATCATAAAAGCTACCAATCAAGTTTAGCTTAATTAAAAATATTTAAGTTGTCCCTCAAATTTTCATTTTGCTTAATCTTTACTTGAATAGTACCTGCGCAGGACGTGGGCCCAACAAAACCTCGAACAGCAGACCCGACTCTAGCTAGAACCGCACGTAACATGAGAGAAGGAATAGTTAAAGGGCGTGCTGTTATACAGACGATTTTCACTCTCACCCGGTACTCGAAAATTCTGCTCAAGTATCTGGCTTCTGGTTCGAAAGCATAATATATGGGTTCCAGTTTTTTGGACTAGGATTAATGTTCTCTCCATGGACTTCTTTGTACATGTATGTTGCAGATCTCTTAAACTATGTCTGATTTGTTGCCAGTCAATAACCTTGCTAGTTGCTGTTTTTCTTTCATTCATTTTATGCGCTATGTTCGGCTTATTTCTCAGAAAGCGAAAGCTTATTGGAAATCATCTTAGCTTCACACTCACACATCTGTTTTTGTGTTGAAATTCTTTTAGCATATAAAGCAATAAGAGAAATATTCCTCGAGTTCAAGAAAGAATAGGATCTTGTTATGCGGGGGTGAGAGTTTATCAGTAGTTCAGTACCAAATACACATTGCAATTGTACACACTAGGTCAATTTACATTAAGAGCTAGCTACTTCACAGATTTAGAACCTTTCGACTTTGGCCTCATCTTCCACTTTAGTCTCATCACTCGTTTTTCTCATGCCGGTAAATGCTTGAGATCTCAGAGCCAGAGTCTAAGCCGAAGCACTTGTAAAGCGCTTGCTTTGCAATCGCAATGTAGCTGCAAGGGTGATTTGGTTGCTTGAAAATATTCAAAACTGCAGAATCCTTTTCGGGAGAAGATTCATGTTCGTGCTGTTGACTGTCTTCTCCCGTCGGGCCTCCACTAGTTCCGACATGGTGTTCTTCCACCTGCCGGATAATTTAAGTTAAAAACATGCTGTAGTGTGACCATGTTGTCTTGCAGTGGCATAACATTTTCAAGATTCAAAACAAAACAAAACAAAATGGATGAATCTTACAAACTCGAATCAGACAAAGCAAGTTTATTAAAATTTTCCTTTTTTTTCCCCTTTTCCTCAAAGTTTAAGTAAAGAGTATGTGAAAGGTGATATTCAAGGTTAGGACAATTATTCAACACCCTTCTCTCCCCACCAACCCCACCCTCCACCTAGCCTAAAATTTAAGAAAATAAACACATAAAATAAAATAAAATAAAATAAAATAAAATAAATGAAAGAACTAAGAATAGAAATTAATTTTATTTTAATGTTTTTTTTTTGCTTAAAAGAAAGGGAGGCCACTCAAACACAGTCATCATCAACAGAGTAAAAATGTGAGCTATAAGCAAAATTCCTTTGATTTTCTGGTTGAAAAAAAAAATTAAAAAAATCATACCAATAATAATAATAAAAAAAAAGAGTATCCTATATTAAATAAAATTAAAGTAATATCAATAATGTAAAACCAAACCCAAAAGAAAAGAAAAAACAACCTTAATCATTCCGTTGGAAGAGATATGGTGCCCGAGATGGGTCGCCGGAGCTTCCTTACGGCCAGTCGGCGGCTGGGCGGCGGCGGAGCTGGTGGAGGAGTCTGAAGTAACGACGGTGAACCCGAAAAAGAGGAGGACAATTAGGAGGATCATAACAAGCAATTGAACCCAAATAAGCCATGGGATTTTGTAGCTCTCTATTATCAGCTCATCCCCAAACTCCATTACTTCTCCTTGTCTAAGACTTCTTTTGCTGGCACAAACAGTACAAATGAAACTGAAAGCGGGGAGATAAAAAGGGAAAAAATTAATGGGTTCAGATCGGAAAGAGAAAAATGAGAGGACATTTGGAGACGAAAAGGAGGGTTTTGGAGAGCATTTTGAGAGTTGAAGCGAAGGGAAAATAATATTAAGTGCCGCTGACCGACCGCAATATAGAAAAGAGGGAAATGTTGCAATCGCCTTACTTATCACTAGTGCATTTTCATATGTATAAAATACGTTTTTGTTTGTATTTATTAATTAGACATGTACTTCTATTATATAAAAATTACTAGTACAGAGCTCGTGCGATGCACGGGGTGTATAATTTTAAGGTTATTTATCTATTCTTATAATTATATAAATGAATAAAAAAAAATGTACGGGATATATATATTACGTAACCTGTAATAGGCCAAAATGTGAACACGAGTGATGCACGGAGTGCACAATTTTAAGGTCATTTATTAGTGCATACCCCGTGTGATGCACGCGATACATTAAATAAATCAATTATTTCTATAGGACTTGTACGTCTAGACAAAAAAACAATAGGCTTGGATCATCCATATTTCACTTCTTTTAATAAGTGACGTTTATTTAAGCCAAAAAATTAACATGTTAATTAATATATAATTCCGCTAACACGTCATATTAATATTTATTTGATTTTAGAGTACATATTTATTCATTGATATAGGAAAAAATAAAAATTTTATTAATT